TTTTTTTTTTTTTTTATTTTGCTTGGTTAAATTCTAGTATTGCTCTCATTATCGTCGTCGTGACTCATATTAAGCACCAAAGGACAAATTTGCCATAGGTCAGAGTTTTGAGTTTAGGCCGCGATGAACTTTTCTTCTGACAACTCTACAGTTCACGAAGAAAAACAATTTTATCTATGTTTGTGGCTATTCCCGAGTATTTGTGATTGTATAACACACCCTCCTTCTATCTTGAAACTTTAAGAGTCTTTTTACACCCTTCATCACACTGAGGTACAGGGTAATATGTCTTTGTGCATAAGTTTTGTAACAGAAAACGAGATAGACCCATGGTTTGAGTTATGCATATCTGTTAGATATAGCTCCCATATATAGTTTCGTCGGATTTTAGGTAATTCGTGCACCAAACGCTTAATATTTGTCCGACTGAGACTGAATTAAACCCAGTTTGATGTATGTGAAGTATTGTTGAAATCGATTCAGATTTAAATATAGTTCCCATATATATTTTCTACCGATTTTGGTGGTATTTGGTGCACCGAACTTTCAATATTTTTCCGATTCAAACACAATTTTGTACAGAGAACTGTGTTGGTTACAGATAGACGTACGTATGTGTATGTGAGACATAGCTTCAATATATATTTTCGTCCGCTTTTATCTAAATAGTGCATGAAACTCCCAATATTCGTCCCATTGAGACACTATTTTGGAAAGCGTTGATATAGCTCCCATATATATTAGTTTGGAATATATATCGGAATGTCCGATTTGAGCCAAATAAGAACCTTTTTTGTATGATTTTTTGGTAATCTCATAATGCATTTCTCATAATGCGTCTCTCCTGCTCTCTTTTTGCAAAAAACTGTAGTAGTCGTTCTTTACAATCCTTCCTAGATACCATTTTTTTTGCAGTGCAAGAAAGAGAAATAGCCGCTTGGTGCCAGCTGAAGTCCGGACTGTATGGCGGATGCATTAAAACTTCCCAACCAAGCTCCCGAAGTTTCTCGCGAGTCACTGGGTGACACGACACCTCTACTGTTGGTCAATTCTGGCCGTTTCTGGTCAATTGCTATCTTCAAACGTTCCAGTTGTTGACAGTGGGGATCACAATTTAGCGTTTGGCCATATGGAAACAATTCATAATAAATAATCCCCTTCCAGTCCCACCAAATGCATTGCAGAACCTTCCTGGCCGTTAGTCCTGGTTTGGCCACCGTTTTAGGTGCTTCATCTTTGACCACGATCCTTTTCGCACAGGGTTATCGTATGTGATCCATTTCTCATCTCCAGTCACCATGGGTCTATATAATTCCGTTTGGACAACGCTTCGCAGATGTAATGGTTTAAAGCAGTTTTTTCGATTTCTAGTTTCTGGGCGATGTTACGACTGCTAACATACCGGTCAACTCCAATCATTTCTCCGATTTTATCGACATTTTCATAATGTATTTCTTTTTCGAGAACCTAATATATTCGTCAGATTTTAAGTGAATATTGCACCAAACTCTCAATATTTATCCATGTACGGCGAAGTTTTGTTGAAACCGGTTCATTTAGAAATAGCTTCCATATATATTTCCATCCGATTTCATATAAATAGTGTACCAAATTATTAAAATTTGTATTTATGCCACGGTTGCTCAATTAGGTCCATTTTTTACATATAGTCCCTTGGAGGAGGTTTGATGTAATTTATTTTACCACGGTCCTTATAAACCTTTATGGTTTCAATTTTTATGATTCTGTAGAATTGATTTTATTTCGTGCTATTTTTTACACAACCTATTTATAGTGTACGAGTATAAATAACATTACCAACATCTGCACAATTATAAATGCAGCAATTAACAATTAAAATTTCTGTACCTCATTATTTTATTGCAAAGTTTATAGACCATCTACATATTGGAAAAAATAAAGAAATCAAACACCTATCTTATCAAAAAATAATAAAGCCGACAAATATCTACTGTCACCTGGGGCACGCTTCAAAATATTACCTCGTTATCAATGTCCGCACTTTCTGATACCGTTCATATCGGCCAGTATAAACGTATTAGCACATAAATAACAAATACAATAGATATAAGAATGTACCCCATTCTTCAAACAAATAAAAAGTTCCATTACGATCGCCTAGAAATGTTCTCACGTACCTTTTAGCTCGATATCGATATCAGTCTTTAACATTATCGATGAATAGTTATCTCCGGTATTTGTTGCTGGGCTGACTTTGAATTTTACAATTTGTTGATAATTTTCAAACTCGCCACGAATAATATCTTCGAAATACTTTTCGTTTAACCATTCGGGGTGGGTGGTGGAGGGATCTTGCTTAGGTTCAGGGACAGAGACAGTTACAGTTTCAACAACTTCTTTGGTAACAAATCTGCAATGATATTATTTATTATGAATTATTCTTCTAAATTTTATTTCTAATACCTACTTTGGCACCAAATAACCATGATGAGCCAGCCATGGCAACACCTTATTAATGTGTGTTATATAACGTGGATTCGAGTACGCCAGTTTCTTAAAGTCCACACTCTCTTTTTCGTCACCCATGAGATTTTCAAATTTAGCATCATCGCTTGGGTCCAACAACACAATTCCCATGGTCAAGAAGGCAGTCACCGTGGCCCACGAACCATAGGTAATTATCTGTTTATTGAATTCTCTCAAGCTGGGAATTTTCTCTTTAGGATAGGCTAATAAATTTAAATTTTCCACCAAATGCTGATGATAGTATTGTACAAAATATTCAAATTTATCCACTTTAATATCAGCTTGTGTTGAAGAGATCATAAAATATAGGAAATCTTGAGCTGGAGAGCCGTAATTGGTATTTTGGAAATCAACATATAGACAATCCACCAATTTGCCTTGGTCATCGTATTTGAAGAGGATGTTATTGGACCACGAATCGCCGTGATTGAGACAATTGAAGAAGTCGGGATTTACTTTACGCATTTGTACGAATTCTTCAACACAGTTATCGAAGAAAAATTCCTAAAAGTAATAAAGACAGCGACTTTAGAATTATAAGGAAAGATAGGACAGAAATAATGGAAAAAAATAGATTAAATTACAAAAATATATAGACATTTCGTTAAATTTGGCCGAGTTCAATTTTTATACCCTTACAAAAAATCTGGTGTACAATTGCAAGGAGGTTCCTGCTCATTCCATAACTCGAAATTATGGTTGATTAATTGGGAGGATTTTTTTAACACCTTGACATATCAGATATGCCAAATTATAGATAAATAGTTTGAAGAATTTGGTGAGGACATTTAAAATGTCTATTATGGGGTTATGTAACCTGACCTGGTATTTTTATATGCGAGCCTCGTCAACATGCTTTGAGGTGTTTTACCCTTGAAATATGACCACGGCTAGGCTATCAAAAAAGTTAGAGCTCTGCAATTTTGCACATACATTGCTAGTACTCCTAGAATGTTAGGTATTGCAAATGGGATATATCGGTCCATGTTTTGGTGTAGCCCTCATATAACGGTACGCCCCAATATTCGGTATTCTGCAGATTTTGGACACGTTTCCAACCGAATTGATTGTAATTTGGTGTTTTGGGTTCTCATTGTATAGCACATCTCCGTACCAAAAATTATTAATACTGACCCCCAATATTCGGTATTCTGGGGATTTTGGACAAGTTTTTCAAACGTAGTGTCCTTATTTTAAATAATTTGATTGCCATCCTCATGTTGGAGGGTATAAAAACTTCGGCCGGGTCGAACTTAATATCTTTTTTACTTGTTATCCTTCAACATCTCTACTTACCATCGCATCATAATATTGTTCACCATTCTCGTAAAGTTTGATGCAATCCAAAAATGGTTTCTTGAATGAACCGAACATTTGTTGTATAAATCCGCGACTAATTGGCGAATCCAAATCACGCTTAAACTCCTCCCGAAATTCTCCCTTCCGGAACACACGAACAGCTGATGCCGCATGGAATAGAGCCATTTTGCGTAGAACCGCCTCTGTATGTTCTGTATCTAAACTTTCCAAGCGATTGGCATTCTTATAGTGTAGAGGTCCCAAATCTTGCAATAGGACATAAAAATCGGCGGGAGCCTCTTCAGCCATGCGATAGGCCTGTGGGCCAAAGGAAACATCAACACCAGCCTTACGATACATTTCTTCCATTTCGGGTATGGCGTCATTGTAGGTGGCATTTTCAACTTGGAAGAAGTTCATATGATGCAACATTTGTTGCATATCCTTGTTGTCGTGGGCGACCTTTAACATGTACGATAAATCTTTGGTGGTGCCATCCAAAAGGCTGATTGTGACATAGACGCGCAACATAAGTGTGGCATAATTTTCACCAGCAGCTAAGGCAGGTTGGGCTTTGAACGAAACAATTTCATTGAAATTGGGATATTGTTTCATTAGTAAAGGTTGGATATTTTTCTTGTTCACCCAAGCGGGAATGTGGGGATTTGGAACTTCTTCAGTTTTTGTCTCTTCATTGTCTACAGCAGAGGTTACGATAGGTACTTGTAGCTGTTCCTTGGTTGCAGTTGGCTCTTCCTGAGGTACCTCTTCATTATTTGTAGTGACACTTTGTGGTTCCTCTTCACTGGGAGTTTCAGGTGTAACTGTCAGTAAGGGTAATTTAATTTCTGGCAATGGCCTTGGTGTTTTCTTGTAACTGAAATCTTTATCCGATACAACAGGAGCTATATCATAACTCTTGGGATCATGTTTTGAATTGCGTAAACCCATAATATAAAAAACCAAACAAAACCGAATCTGAACACAAATAATTTCTATTGAATACTAAGAGAAAATAATTTCAAATCAACGGCTGATGAACAGAAATCGGAAAAATGATATTCGTAACTATTGGAATGAAACAACCTTCACGGTTCACTACACACTCAGTACTGTGGAGAAGCGATTAACTAATTTTTCGGTTATATGCATTTCATAGATATGTATAGCTAAAAAACAAACACACCACGATCACTTTGAGTAATTTGGCGATAAATTGAGAGCGGGCTCTTGGAAAAACAACAGGTACAACGTATGGCATAGTATTATCAAGTTTGTTTGAAGTGGCCACCAGTCGCTTAGCATTTCCATTGGTAGTGCGTAGTGAAATTATCAGAATACGATCTAAGATATAGTTATACTCTCTGTCTCTCTGGTGGTTCTCTTCGACGCGTTTGCCTCTTTTTCTATTTCTAAATTAATGACAATGCTTATTTTCAATATCAACAATGATGACATTTATTAGTGGTTTGTTTGCTATCAAAATAAAATCAATATTTTGTAGATAAGCTCGATTTTAGCCATGACTGATGTAATATTCGTATTTCAAGACAAATCCCGCACTAAATGTTTTGAAATATTTTAACCTTTGATTTATAATTTTTAACATTTCATTTCCTCCCCAATATCTAAAATATGTCATAAGTGCGATATCTAAAAATAAAAAAAAAAAATCTGAAGACCCTCTTCTGCATATTTTCTCTTTCATATTCTGTTGTATGGCTATTTTTGTGCACAATTTAATATTTCTAGTTTTGCACATTTTTAATACGTCATTTTTGTTATCAAATTTAAATTTGAAAGGTACATCCTAGTCAGTGTTATCAGCAAGTACAAAAGTCCTCATAGACATTGCGGTTTCTTAATGTGATGGATATGTAGGCTTTGAGAAATATTTCACTATGTTGACAGTCATTGATGGTTTTTTTTTTTTTTTTTTTTTTTTTGAAAATCGACAGTGCAAAGGTCGAAGTGCAAAGGTCGTTTAGTTCAGCTGGATCGAATTTGTTACACCCTCTAGCTTTAGGAAAATACATTTGAAATAAAAGCGATATATGAACTATGGAAAGATCTAGGTTATAACTTATATTGCCAATATGAAAATAATAATATGTTTTCCAATAATTCGTCGGCGGATTTTATATAATCTAAGTTTTTTTTATACCCTCCACCATAGTATGGAGGGTATATTAGTTTTGTTTTTCCGTTTGCAACGCATCGAAATAATCATTTCCGACCCTATAAAGTATATATTCTTGATCAGCGTAAAATTCTAAGGCGATCTAAGCATGTCCGTCTGTCTGTTGTAATCACTCTAGCGTCTAAACGAATTGAGATAGAGCCCCAAAATGTTGCATAGAGTCGTCTTTTGTCTGCAGGCAGGTCAAGTTCGAAGATGGGCTATATCGGTCCACGTTTAGGCATAGCTCCCATATAAGGGTACCCCCCAATTTTCGGTATTTTGAGGTTCTTGAGCGTGTTTTTCAACCAAATTCGCTGAAATTCGGTACTTTGAGTTCTTATTGGGTAGCAAATCTCCCCACTATAAATAATAAATATAGGTCCATTTTTTCGGACAGCCCCCATACAAGGGTACCCCCAATTTTCAGTATTTTGAGGTTCTTGGGCGTGTTTTTCAGCCGAATTCGCTGAAAATTGGTACATTGGGTTCTTATTGGGTACCAAATTTCTCCACTAAAAATTATAAATATAGGTCCACTTTTTCTGGTAGCCCCCATATAAGGGTACCTCCCAATTTCCAGTTTTTGAGGGGTATTGACCGGATTTTTCTACCGAATTGGCTGTAATTTAGTACTTTGACTTCTTATTGGGTATCGAATCTCTCCACAAAAAATTATAAATATAGGTCCATATTTTCGGGTAGCCCCCATATAAGGGAGCCCACAAATTTATAACCCCCTTTTTATATTAAAATAGTTAGAGGATTTTTTCCGTGTATTGGGGTTATCACATATAGCTGTATTCCACCATAGTAGGGGGGATATTCGGTAGACGAAATTTTCAGTTTATATCCCACATAGTATGGAATTCTAAAACGATTTAGTCGATTTAGCCATATGTTTAATAATTTTTCTCTCGGAGGATATCGATATAAAAACTAAAACGTGAGGTTTGAGAATGAACTGTATCGACCCGCATTTACGACCAGGTCCTATATAAAACATCCTTCCTATTAATTATTTAGCGTGATGGACGGTATTGGGATTCAAAACTAAAATATTAGCTTGGAACTTGAGCTACATCGGTTCTAATTAGGCCTAACCCCTTATATAATGAAAACACAAAGTAGTTGCTAAATTGGAGTATTTTCAGAATTTTATACACATGTTTCACCGTACCATGCGTTAATAATATATGTCAACATTTTAGGGTTTTGATACTTTCGGAAAACCCCCATTGAAATTGCAGAATATTCTATTTGGTTTACAACAATCGATTGGAAGAATTGTCGTTATATGTATGTTCCCTATGTTTTCATTTCAAAAATTTGCCAGTATTTCTTTTTTTATCAGAATCTTTCTATGCAAAATTTCCCGTTTAAATTGCAAAATAATTTATTTCATATTTTGGCTGGATGAACGGGTCTTACACATCCCGTTCATTAATTATTTGCTTCAAATGAGGTATTCGTTTTTATCAAAAAAGTTTCGAATTTAATGCTGATCAAATCGTTTATTCAATTCGCCTCAAATTAAACTTATAAGTTTCTAAAATATTGATCCTTACTAGGGGAGGTTCCATAATCTTGGTAATGATAATAGCTTGTAGAAAGTTTCAGATCGGACATTTCAATCGTCTGATTATATCGAATATCGATTATAATAAATATCGAAAGTTTTGAAAGATTTTTGAATTTATAAATATTGAAAGTTTTGAGCCTTTTTGGGGTGTCGAGTCTTTACGGTTTCTATATCATTCATTTGATTAAACGACTATCACCGAAAACTATACATTCAAAACTTTAATAATCGACGCGATATGTTAATATAGGACAACTACAGAATCTACATAATCTAAAATGTAAATATTTATGTGTAGCTCCCCAATCCGAGTATATATATATCTATGTAATTGGTATCAATTTACCATTCCATTTGGATATAAACATAGACCCAGGGACCCCAACAACTTATATGGGGATATATTAAAACGTGGACCCAGTGACCCCAGAAGTACTGCTGAGTTCTCTTGCTACGTCATATGGTTCGCCAGTTAAATAGTTTTTACTCAACATTCGGAGACTCGGATTATTACCTAAGTGTGTTACGTGTTTAAAGAATTATATAACTCTCCATTTTGAACCACAAGTGAAATCCAGAAATAAATTCCTAAGAAATTCCTCAGAAACAGAAAATAGCATTAATATATATATATATATATATATATATTTATCACATTATTTATACATTCATTGGATCGTCTAGTCCCTTGTTGGCAAATCCTTACCATCATTGCTACAATCCCTAAAGAAATAAAATAACATACAATTTTTACAAATTAAAACAGCTTTTCAATTTTAGATATTTTCACTACTCGCCTCGTTTCCATAAAACCCCGATGATATAGCCATGGCAATACCTCATTCATATGCTCCACATAACGTGGGTTTGAATATATCGTATTCTTAAATTCTAAATGCTCTTTTTGTTCGCCTATGAAATTTTCAAATTTCGCCTTATCCGTAGGATCCAACAGAACAATGCCCATTGTTAGGAATGATGTAATTGTGGCCCAGCTACCATAGTGAATTAACTGCCGGTGCAATTCACAAAGTGATGGAATTTTCTCTATCGGATATCCAAGTAATCGAAGATTTTCGTCCAGATGTTGATGATAGTAACGTATGAAATAATGAAATTGCTCCACTTTTATATCTTTCTGTGTTGATGATATTATAAAATAGAATAGATCTTGAGCCACTGAACCATAATTGGAATTCTGAAAGTCAACAAAAAGAACATCCTCGACATGGCCATCGGCGTTGTGTTTGAAGAGAATATTATTGCACCAGGCATCTCCGTGATTGAGTACGTTAAAGTATGCGGGATTTGGTCGGCGACCGAGAGTGAACTCGTCTACAACATTGTCGAAAAATTTACTCTGAAAGAAAGATAAAATGCAATTTTTTATAAGAAATAGTTTCACTGACATTTTTTGTGAGCCGTTTACGAATTATGAAGTTTCCCCAGGCTTATAAACGGAATTAAAAACATAATTTAGCTTCCTACTTACCATATTGTCATGATATTTTTCACCGTCATCATATAATTTCAAATTTTCCATAAATGATTTCTTAAATGAACTAAACATTTGCGAAATAAATTCACGACCCTTTGGATTTTCTAAATTAGGGGAAAATGTTTCAGAATACGGTCCTTTTCGATAGACACGACAAACTGATGCTGCATGAAATGTAGCTAATTTTCGTAACACCGCCTTAGTGTGTTCCATATCTAGGCATTGCAAGCGATTAACATTTTTATAGCCACGCAGACTTAAATCTTCTAAGAGGACATAATTAGATGAGGGTTCTGCGTCATGCAATTCATAGACTATGGCACCAAATGTCACCTCACTACCAGCCTGATGATACATTTGCTCCAATTCCGGTATGACATTGTGGTAGACCTCGTTTTCAACATCAAAGAAATTTTTGATTTGCAGTAATTCCTTCATTTCATTATTGTCATGGGCCACTTTCATCATAAAGGATAGTTTTTTTGTGGACTTATCCTTGAGTTTTATTGTGATTTTTATTTTCAGCATTAATGTGGAATAATTTTCTCCTGGTGCCAAGGCGGGTTGGACTTGAAAGGATATAATTTCTAGAAATTCGGATTCTATGCGTTGTAAAAGTTCATGGAAGGTACTCATATGTATCCACGTGGGAATGCTTATATTTGTGGTACGTTTATCGGAATTGACAACTTCTCTGACGTTTTTCTCATTTTCCGGCTGTGAATCTTCATCTGCTTCTGGTGCAATAATCACTTGTGGCACTGCAACATCGGGTAATGCCTTTGTTGCCTTCTTATAACGAAATTCCTTGTCGGATACAATTGGTGCAATATCATAACTGCGCGGACTGCGTTTGGAAGAATTTAAACCCATTTTGGTACATAAAAACAACAACCTATCTAATTCAACTTTTTTAATATACTGAACCGTCTCAATATATTTTTTCGTCGTCACTTTATGACAAGGTGAATATTGTCTTACGGAATATTTTTTTTTAGATAACCGATTTTAAGTAGATTGTTATCTTGTGTTTACATTGCCACCAACTCGTAAAATGAAGTGGCATTAGACCCCACCTATATAGGTAGTATTAAAAATAATGCAATTTTTGAACTACAACATAATAACAGTGATGGAAAAATAAATAGAATGGCGACAATAATACATGAATATATCATTGTTTCTAGATGGATATATGTAATGTTTGTCATAAATAGGTTTAGATTTGAGTATAGCTCCCTTATATAATTTCGTCCGATTTTCACCAATGTTTGCATAGAAAATGCTGCATCAAAATTACATCATATACATACATACTACGCTACCAAAATTAGTGTAAATTTGTCATTGCAACACCTTGAAATATTAATCGGAATGTATATACTTGAGCAGAATAAAATTATATGTAGATTTAAACATGTCTATCTGTCTATCTGTTGAAACCACGATTGAGTTTAGTTTTGAAGATATCTTGCTACTACTCCTTGGATTTTTGGTGTTGAAAATTTGTATTTTCGTATAGCCCCATATAGCAGTTTTGGGGGTATTTTAGGAATTTTTTGTATGTTTTTCAAACGAATAGGCTGTAATTTTTCTAATTATATACAACCCTAATCAGTGAAGGTGCCTACCCCATGTTAAAAATTTACAATTTCAGTTACAAATCTATCTAACTCCCACAAAAATGATCCAAATTGAAACAAACAACATTTATTTGAAAGATAATTTTAACCAGTCAACGGAGCAGTATAGTCGGTTCTATATTATAAACATGGGCATTATATCGCGATATTTGCACCTTTTTGACCGATTAGAGGTCAACAAATACTATTAATATTCAGTACAGCCCTTCTAATTACTTATCCAGATTTCCTTCACCGTGGGTTGTGTTGCGATGCTCGGCTTTCAATTGTGGCCTATATATCGATTCGAAAAAACACAAAAATAAAGTATCTGATCCTCACCGAACATTATAGGCGTTGTCCTTGACCATACCTTGATCCGATCAGTGCTATATTTCCGCCCTCTAGTATGTTAATTGGTTACTAAATAATATCTGAATACGTAAGGACCTGTAAATATTTAAGTGTAACTCCCACATCCGAGTACATACGACAATATAGTTGTATCAATTTAAAGGTCAGCCACTCCTCTTAGATATACTATCAACTTCTCGGGTCTATGTCCTCCAGGGGCAAATATATGCGACATAGAATACATTTTTTTTTTATTTTTTTCACACAAAAATCGGGGTCCATTCGACCCGCTAAATATTGACTGATATTTATCAAAACACGCATGCCTATTCTTTGGTCCAATCCTCATCTCCCTGTTAAAATTCGCGATGTTTGGGCCATAATTGCGGCCTCTGGAGCGACAGGAAAAACCGACAAAAATTAAGTATTTGGTCCATTTCGCCCCCTAAATATTAAATTGGCCAGAACCCATCGTACATGCAAAATTTCGTGAAGATTGGTCAATAACTGTGGCCTGTATCGTGTTTACAAATTATAATGGACAGACGGACGGACACACATGTCTAGATCGACTCAGCTAGTCGAGATATGACGATCGGTATACTTAAAGGTGGGTCTAGGACCAATATTTCGCTGCGTTACAAACTTTTGGGGCTGCACAAAGCTATAATACACTGACAACATAGTTGTGTAGGGTATAAATATCGATTATTTTGAAAAGGTTTTGTTTGTAATAGAAACCAGTAAGGAAAGATCAAAATCGGACGGACCGACTATATGATTCTCTTCACCACTTTGGGTACATGCAAGAGATTCTAATACATACAATATCTTGAAGATAGAACAGACATATCATCTTTAGAAGACCTTTGAAATGGAATCGGCCGAAATTTAATTTGTGTTCTACATAGATATTTGAACGTAGTAGAAAACCTCAGTAGTGTTGGCGGGTTATTTGGGATACCATTTGTATTTTGTTTTTGCAAAATAGTCAGGCTTAATCCCAGTTTGTTGTTTTTATAAAAAAAACAACTATTTATTAGTGGGAATGTATGGCATTGTCAGCCGAGGGGTAAGGCAGGGAAGACTATAGTTTCGGATCTCGCCACTGATCCTCATCAGTTCCCTTAGTTTTTTTGTTGGGATATTCTCCCCAGAAGCTATTAATAGCTTCTTTACAAAAAACCTTTCAAACGACGAATGCACATAACGTTGTTGATGGTATTGCTAGTTAAAGCAATAAACCAAACAGTATGACCGTGCCTCGTCTACAACTTCAGTAGTGTTGGCGGGTTATTTGGGATACCATTTGTATTTTGTTTTTGCAAAATAGTCAGGCTTAATCCCAGTTTGTTGTTTTTATAAAAAAACAACTATTTATTAGTGGGAATGTATGGCATTGTCAGCCGAGGGGTAAGACAGGGAAATAACCCGCCAACACTACTGAAGTTGTAGACGAGGCACAGTCATACTGTTTGGTTTATTGCTTTAACTAGCAATACCATCAACAACGTTATGTGCATTCGTCACAAAGTGACGACATATAGCAGTGGGAAATGTATTGTAGTTGTTTGTAAATGCCTTGTTGACCACGAAGTCAGGCGCCAACGAAACGAACTTCTCATTGGGGTCGTAAGAACTTCGAATTGTCACAAGAGACATTTGGGTTTGAAAGGTTTTTTGTAAAGAAGCTATTAATAGCTTCTGGGGAGAATATCCCAACAAAAAAACTAAGGGAACTGATGAGGATCAGTGGCGAGATCCGAAACTATAGTCTTCCCTGCCTTACCCCTCGGCTGACAATGCCATACATTCCCACTAATAAATAGTTTTTTTTTATAAAAACAACAAACTGGGATTAAGCCTGACTATTTTGCAAAAACAAAGTATTAGAAAACCCCTAAAATCTATGAAAATTTCTATGTTAATCAGAGAGACTTGCATTCTTTGATGTATCATTTGTATAAAATCGAGCAACACTCGTGTATATGGACCTCTTCCAAATTTTGTGTAAATCGAACAAACATCATTTACAAAAAATTGTACGAAAATATATTTTTGGGAGCTTTATCTATATCTGAACCGATTTCAACAAAACTTCCCATACGTCTATCTGGACCTAACTCGGTACACAGTGCAAAATTTTGTCTCCATGGGATAAATATTGGAATATTTCAACACAACTTCACATACATCAAACTGGACTTCATTATGTACACTGTGCCAAATTTTGGCTGACAAATGTTGGTAGTTTGGTGCACCATTTACACAAAATCGGACGAAACTATATATAGGAGCTTTATCAAAATTTGAACCGATATATAGATACTTTGGTGCACCATTTACATTAAATGGAACGAAATTATAAATCGGAGCTATATATAAATCTAAACCGATTTAAAAAAAACTTCACAGACAGTAAACTTGACCTAATTCAGAACGCTGCGCAAAATGTTTTTTCAATCGGACAAATATTTGGAGTTTAGTGCACCATTTAAATAAAATCGGACGAAAATATATATTGGAGCTATATCTAAATCTGAACCGATTTTTCCCAATTTCTACTGGGTTCGTTCTTGGACCAAATAAATGAGCTGTGCCAAATTTCATCCAATTCGGATCATAAATGCTCAAAAGGGAACCATGTGTCTATCTCGTTTTCTTTTACCTTTTATAAACATAGGCACAAAGACATACTTCCCTTTACCACGGTTTGATCAAGAGTATAATGAATTGACATTTTTATACCCTTCACCACACTGTGGTACAGGGTATTATGTTTTTGTGCATATGTTTGTAACAGGCAAAAAGAAACGAGATAGACACATGGTTCCTTTTGAGAATATGCATAGAATCACTTTCTAAGTCGATTTACGCATGTCCGTCTGTCCGTCCGTCTGTCCGTCCATGTATTTTTGTGAACATAGTACAGGTCGCATTTATGATCCGATTTGAATGAAAGTTGGCACAGGTCACTTATTTGGCCCAAGGACGAACCCTATTGAAATTGGGAAAAATCGGTTCAGATTTAGATATAGCTCCCATATATATTTTCGTCCGATTTAATGTAAATGGGGCACCAAAGTCCCTATATATCTTTCGATTTGCACAAAATTTGGCACAGCGTAATGAATTAGGCATAGAATGATGTGTGCTGAGTTTCATGGAAATCGGTTCAGATTTAGATATAGCTCCCATATATAGTTTCGTCCGATTTTATGTAAATGGTGTACCAAAGTCCCTATATATCTTTCGATTTTCACGAAATTTGGCACAACGTAATGAATTAGGCATAGAATGATGTGTGCTGAGTTTCATGAAAATCGGTTCAGATTTAGATATAGCTCCCATATATAGTTTCGTCCGATTTAATGTAAATGGGGCACCAAAGTCCCTATATATCTTTCGATTTGCACGAAATTGGGCACAGCGTAATGAATTAGGCATAGAATGATGTGTGTTAAGTTTTCTGAAAATCGGTTCAGATTTAGATATAGCTCCCATATATATTTTCGTCCGATTTAATGTAAATGGTCCAACAAAGTCCCCATATATCTTTCGATGTGCACGAATTTTCGCACAGCGTAATGAATGTAGTATAGAATGATGTGTGTCAAGTTTCCTGAAAATCGGTTCAGATTTACATATAGCTCCCATATATATTTTCGTCCGATTTAAGGTAAATGGCGCTCCAAAGGCCTTGTACATTTTTCGATGTGCACGAAATTTGGCATAGAATACTGAATTAGGTCCGGAATGATGTGTGCTAAGTTTCGTGAAAATCGGTTCAGATTTAAATACAGCTCCCATATATAGTTTCGTCCGATTTAAGGTAAATGGTGCACCAAAGGCCTTATACATCTTTCGATTTGCTCGAAATTTGGCAAAGCGTACTGA